CACCTCCGCCTCCAGCAACGTTGCCAGAGGTGGGTGGAGACAAAGGTAGTAGCAACAGCGCTGGGCAGAGGAATGACCACCAGCATTGCTGCCTCCACCTCTGCCTCCGGCCACCTCTGACAACGTTGTCAGAGGTGAAGGCGAAGGTGGTGGCGCGCGGCAGCAGACGACGGTGGCAGGTGGTAGCGGGCAGCGGTAGACGGCGGTACTGGTAAACAAATGGCAAGAAGAAGATGATGAATAGTGTTTCTGCCCTTTATTGATATTATTTTTAAAAAGTTAACCTATTTTTAAATTTTATTTAAAATATTATTTTTATTGATATTAAACCCCAAAAGTTGCCCTTATATGCTATTACCCCTAAATTTTATGGTGTCTTGTCTTATCTTTTTTAATTACTCATTGCTTTTACTTGGTTATATTCATTGCACACACTCACACAAGTTATGGAGAAGGGTATTGATTTAAGCACTCAATTGTATATCCAAGTATTTCTTTCTTATTAGATTTAACATTTTCATCTGATGATGACTATGAGTTGAATATTCACCCAAATATTTGATACAAAGTACTTGTGATTGACATTTTATCAAGTTGCATTGATGTTTGGATTGTTGAGAATACACACAAATGAGTTTGAGTGTTTGGAGACATAAATAGAAGTCCTTGGACAACCAGAATATATAAGTGATGTTAGGTGGTAATGGACGCATACCAAGGACATCCCCTTAAGCAACCAGGATTCATTAACTTGATACATCTTGGATTAAATTTGGAAGAAAAAGGCACAAAGTTTTAGACACAATCCACCCCCTCTTGGGTCAATGATTTGGGCAAAAGATTGCACTTCCCTTTTTCTTGTAAAAAGATTTTGTGATATTTAACTTTTAAAAAATTACCAACAATTCTATGCAACTCACGTCCACTCTTTACCAACACTTCTCTTGTTGTACCTCAGCCCTCTCCTCATTAGTCCCTATACCTCTCTCCAACTCACACACATTCTCTACCCTTCAGGTTTTTCTAAATCGCAAACTCTGCCTGTATGTCAAGGGGTTCCAGTATTTTGAAGTTTGACCACACAAGGTATGCTGTTCAATCTATGTTTTGCCCCGAATTGTCTCTTAAGCTGCACTTGAAGTGATGTAAAACCTCTTCGGTGTATGTTTTACACTGATCTGTAGAAAAGTTACCGTTGAGCTTCGAAAAGTATGGAGAAAAGCCTTGAGTTTTTACAACGATTTTATCAGTGTAATATTTACATAGATAATCGATGTAAAACTTTACTTTTGATGAGATTTTACATTGATTTACTATATAAAACTCCACTCCATCCAAACGCCGACAAATCTAAACTGGAATGAAGTTTTACATCGATCATGATTTACACTCCATCCAAACGCTGACAAAACCGAACCAAGGTAAACTTTTAAATCGATGACATTTTACATCACCTCCAAACACAGCCCTCATAACATATCATCTCTCTAGGGATTTTAATTTTGGAATTCAAATACATTGTTCAGAGGTGCTTTTCAATATGTTCACCTCTTTTATTCATTATTTTTTTTTTATAGGACGATTGAATGGTAATTCAAGGAACTTATATCAATTTATATAGAGAATAGAAATGTTCATTTAATAGTCATTCATGAAGCCACCATTTTTCGGTTGTCAGACTCGAGAAGCTGTCTCTCATCATAGTAATCTGATTGACTCAGGAAGGATGCTGGCTCTCGCTCTCGTCATAGTAATCTGATTATGACTCAGGAAGCGTTCTCAAAGAAGAAGCCCCAAGATATCAAGGATGTTTTGAATGACTCTTCTTGTTTTGTTACGATTTCTCTCTTCCTTGGACAACTTTGGATTTTGTCCTCAAAAAACCATCCTCGCAGCCTTTGCAGCCATGCATTGGCAACATAGAGTTCCCAATGCACACCATCGTCTTCACAGTCTATCCTCACAGACTGTGTGGACGAATTTTTGAGGACCAAATCCAAATTCAGTTTGGACATGTTTCAGAGGATACAGATTCTTTAACAAAAAAAAAAAGGAGTTTCAGATAATAGCTCATAATTTGAATGTCTATGCACAAACAAGATCGACCGTAGCATAGAATTCAATCACATGCAAGCATTTTGAACATCTATTTATTTGATACCACTCTTAGCGTTTTACCTTAAACAAGTATTCCGACCAATCTCGACCATTATATATTACAGTATTACAACCAAAACATGAGAGGGTAACAGCCAAAGGTTTCAAAGAAATCCATTTTGCCTGGCATTCAACCATCCGACGCAGCACAGTTCAAAAAGCACCAATTCAGCAGATTGCCTTAAGACCTTACAATTTCGCTTCTGGATCTCCACATCTCAAACGTCAAACCTTGGAAGTCTTCAAGCCACCAACCCACGGGCCACAGAAAACAAAACTCTTTGAAATGACCAACAAATCTCTAGTTTAAAACAGCATCAGCTGCCGAGCGCTTAGTGTACACGGACTCGGATTCAATCATTTACATGACGCTATGACAAAATTCTGGAGTTTGAATAAACCAGGGATTACATGACATGGTTATTAATATAAACCTTGCATGAGAGACTTTAGAAAACTTACCACCCAGCCTCTCTCTTAAGCTTTTGATGAGACGGGTATCGTAACTCAGACAAAACTGGCTTATCCTCCTCCCTTCCCATATCGAGAATGCAGCAAGGGAAAACAACCCGCATATCACAATGATTCGGGACTAGTGGAAGGTCTAATTCTGGCAGGCATTCTCATATAGTTCTCCAATTTATTTATCAATCCATTTTTCAAGGAATTCCTGGGAGTAATTGACATTTTATTCAATTGGCACTCAAATTCATCAAGATCGAGATCATGCTCATCGAGACTCCTTGTGATGCCACCATCCATGTAGCTTTTGCCATTCCCATCAAAATATTCATTGATATCTTCTTCACTACTGCAGTCTTCGCCTTCATCATAAGTAGTTTTAACCATCGACCAATACACAAAACTTGGTCGGATAAATCTTCACATGAAATGGAATAAATTGTTAAGAAGGCATTCAAAAATAAGCTGAAGGAACATGCAGAAATACTTGCATTTATGTATGTATAAACTATAAAAGCAAATGAGTAATTTTCACGGCTGAACAGAACATAAACATTTATAAAAACATTATATAGGAATAAAAAAACACACCTGTCACATTTTTTTAATAAGCATGGATCAAATGGGAAGAACATGTCAAGCCTTTCCATCCCACCAAAGGCCTTTGATAAATCTGATTCTAACAAGTTGTTAAACAGAAACGTCTCTGACACAGTGAACAGGTGAGCAGCTTTTGCCTGACGGAGGAATTCCTCCACAATGGAGGGAAGACACACCTGTTACAACACAAAACCAAGTTACTGGACTTCAGCAGTTGCTAATACTTGCAGTTGCAGTTGCAGTTTTAGAAAGAATGAGACCTACAATTAGACTATTAGAGTGAGCGGCAGTAAATGAAGGCCTCGGTGCTGAATTTTGAAGGTTCATGCCTCGAATCATAGGTCCATGCCTACATATTTTTTTTATTCTTCTATAGTTCTTTAAGCTAGAATTTCATTTATAATATTTAAATAATTAGATGTTTTCAAAACTGTTTATGAATTATATTTGACGTCAAAAAGTTTCTGTAGTAGGCAATGAACATTAGAAGTCAATGGGATACAATGTTTTCCTACCATAATTAACTAAAGTTCCAGAATAGAAGACCTGGCAACCTGTAAACCAATCCTTTAGGACTAATTTGCAAGTCAGTTTGTCTGATCCTCTGGTATGCAGTGGTTTGAAAGGTGGTATTAGGGTGGGATTGATGTATTTTGTTTCATCTCTATTCTCAGTGATATCTTTCCACCTTGTCTTGTACTCTCTTTTATTCTAATGGCTATCCTTTACTTTCACGGTAAGGTAGAAATACCATAGGGTGAAATGGGAAGTAGTGTCTAGAAGTTGGGAGGAAGGTAGCTTGGGACTAGGAAACATTCGGAAGAGAAATGAAGCTTTGCTGGGAAAGTGGCTATGGAGGCTAGCAGGGGACAGAGATAAGTTGTGGGCTAAAGTAATACTGAGTATCCATGGGCAAGCAGATGATGGCTGGGACTCTGGACTGGTGGCAAGGTCTACTAGAGCCTCTCCCTGGAGATCCATACATGCCATTTTTCCCTCCTTTTTGCAGCACATCAAGTATGATCTTTGTTCTGGAAACTAGGTGAAATTCTGGGAAAATCTTTGGGCGGGAAATATGCCTTTAAAAGACCAATTTTCTTCTTTATTCTCTCTCTCGGTAAGGGGAACCTGTGTCTTCTTTCTTGGTCCCTTCTGAGTCCAATTTTGGTTTTGATTGGGATTTGGGTTTTAGAAGAGGCCTTAGCCTTAGGGAGTCAGAATTTGAAAATGCTTTGGAGTTAATTCAAATCTAATGGGGTGGTTATGGACCTTTCAAAGAGTGATAGTAGAATTTGGACCCTAACCCCCTCTGGTGTTTTTTCCTGTGTCTCTTTCTTTAATTCTTTAGTTCAATCTGCGAACAATATTTTCCAAGCTTTCTCAGTAAAGGAATTATGGGGTAAACTGATTCCTCCGAGGATTGGAGCTTTTTGTTGGGAGGCTTTCTTGGAAAGATGCAATACTTGTGACATACTCCAAAGGAAAAGGCCTAATTGTCTCCAAACGAGTGCATTTTAATTGGGCCCAAATAACCACATTTAAGAAAAGTATCCAAACTCAGAGCATTTTAATCAGGATCAAATTTTTAGTTTTACTAACTATATTATGCCCAATTAAATATTTAAAAGTCATATTTTGCTGCTACCCACTTGAAGCTTGACTTCAAGACACTGGGACCATATATTATCTGTGAAAAACTGTGAACCCAACTTGCCAATACAGTTTTTACATGACATTCTCAGCAAATCATTTTGAAATACAGTCTGAAATTTTTTAATCAATAAATACAGTCTGCATTTCTATAAGATAGAAAACAAAATAACAAGCTGCGTAAAAGGCTTTCACAATGTAAGAAATAAGTGTACATTCACTTGATTGTATTTCACTCTTAAAATGCAGACTGGGACTCATGGCAGGCCAATAAACGTGATTGGACTGGTGACTAAGTGAACAGAAATGATCAATTGATCAGGCACTGACACAATAATACAATGGAACAGGTGACAAAATGCCAATTAGGCTTGGCTTATGGGTCAAACAACTAAGACAATTTGGATTTATTGACTAGCTCAGTAGTACAATATACAAGTCTCAGATCAGACCAAGCTTTTAGGGGGCCATTTCAAGCAAAAACCAATCTAAGGGTCCATTTGGTTCATAGTTGGAATTGGAATCAAAATCCTTTGAAATCGGAAACAGAATGATTTATTCCCATAGTTTGTTTGGTTCAGACAGGAATGAGAATGAAAATTGGAATCAGCAGGAATGAGATTTCATTCCCAAGGGNNNNGAATGCCATTCCAGCAGGAATGGGAATGGGATTCCGATTCCAGACCCCTATTCCTGCGAACCAAGCAGGGCCTAAAATGTCCAATCCAGATTCAGAAACTTTGTTATCCATGATGGCATAGATGTACCTATGTTTATCTTACCTTCAATGGATCCAATTGATGGCGAAATATGGGTTCTAGAGGCATGTGAAGCAGCTGTGATTTCAGACGGTGAGAGTCCATCATTGACCTCATACGGAAGCAGAGCACATACATAATAGCCTGTGACAGAAAGGAATAGATAAATCCTCAGGTTGCATGGATGTATTCATATCTCAAAAATGGAATAGTAACCCAACACTAATGAACTAAAGATGCTTAGTTTTCCAGACCAACTTTAATTGACTACTTGCTTGGCAACATAGAATCAACACTAATCATTAAAATCATATAATGATACATTTACTTCTTTTGAAGAGAAGGCACACAGCTTTTAAAATGATTGGGTTACCTTACAATGGACCACATCCCTAAAATCATGAAGGTCTTACTATGACAGTCCAGAAAAGGAGCAAACATTGCCATCTCAAATCAGTGGAAATAAATTATTCAAATGGTTAGGTCATTGGAGTGGTGTGGACTCTGCCCAAGAATATCCACCTAGCAGGCCAAATATGTGACACCCTAGATCAAGGACCCCTAAAATATGGCCATCCCCAAGTTAAGGGGGTAGGGACCTGGAAGGAAGTGGATAAATACATAGAAGGTGGTAAAACAAATAGAAAATTCAAAGATGAAACTCATGAAAGGGAAAAACAGAAACGGAATTTAACATCATCTTACTAAACATCAATGGGCTAGGAAGAGCATGTTATTGGAGGCTGGAGAGAGAAACCCACCAAATTGACTATTGAAAATAACAGAAAATACAAAACCTTGCATTATGGGGCTGTTGTGCTTTCTCTTTTTATCTCAAAATCCTTGAAAATATAATTGTTTAGAAACACAGTCTTTGCCATGTCTAGTACTGGCCAGTTAGATTAACACATACCTGGCATCCAGAATAAAACACTCTATGAGTTTCCGGATATAAAGTTTTCTCCTCTCCATTCTGAACTTGGCAATATTCGAGGCACCAATCCACTAGTCTGGGAGAAAGTGAATCAAAGATTGAATTGAATCAATAATATTTGTTTAAAAACATCAGAATGATGTTTTAATAAAAGGAACCAAGAATGATAAAAGACCTCTTCAATGTGCTGGCAATCAAGGAGGGTGGCAGAAACTTTCCACGGGATAAATAACTAGCAAGGTAAGCAACAGCACTCATCCTGTAATCAAAAAGAAAAAAACAAAAAAGGAATTGAGAAAGACAAATTAACTCTCAAAACATTACAAATGAATTGTGGAATCATTTTATCACAAAGTGAAACAGTAATAAGAATTTGGTTATGGATATGCAATACAAGACCAAGTAATTGTGACATTTAGTAAAGCAACTACACAAGTACATTGAAATCAAGTTCCAAGTTACCCCATCCATCTCTGATTTTTTTTTTTTTGATGAATAATCCATCTCTGAATTTTACATTATGTTAAAAGCAAATTCCAATTTACCTTGTAAGTGCAGGATGGGTTCTGCATACAAAAATATCAGCAAGAAAAACTGCAAATCTCTCTCCACAATGTTCAGGATCCAACGAGCAGGCATAGAACATTACAAACTGCAGTATGAAGGCAACCATGTATAAGTAGAAGATTGGATGTTACCCTAACTAGTGCATGATTCAATTAAGAGCTACGATAAGAATCCTTTCAAGATGACAATAATAACAAGTCTATCACAAGGAACAAATGAAACAAATGTGGAAATAAAAAAGGATTGTAATTCCTTTTTCCTTTCTATTTTATGAACTTTTACATACTTAACAAAAAAATCAGGAACATTAGCAAATGAGCTGAAGTTTCTGCGAGAATTACTTGGGAAAACTTTGACTTATATGCATTCAGGATGGTTACCCAAAAAGACTGAAGAAGTGTTTCGAACACCTAACTCAGTAAAAAGCATATAGATAGATCAGAAGGCCAAAGGTCATGAACAAGAATATCTGTATTGAAATGCAAGTGACAATAATACACTAATGATATTACCTTTGTCAGACGTTCACCGTCAGCACATGATTTAAGATGTTCACAAGCAAGTACCATCAAGCTATCTAATTTGTCAGCAACTGCATTGGTCCCCAAACTCTGCCTGCCAAGAGTTCCTCTTGGATGCTGAAGAAAAACCTCATTATATTGGTGTTTGCTAATAAACATCCTAAATAAACCCATCCATGCTGGACTACCTAATTTTCACATTGAGTACTTGCACCAGGAGAGACCTGGAAGAAGCCATCCAACCTGACTCTAAAAGACACATGGCACATGTAATGAGTCAGGGGTTCACTTAAATAGAATCAAGGAAATGTCCATAAAAAACCACATTAATAATGTGATCTCGTACATTGTTTGGGTTCCATTCAAGAGTGCCGTGTGTACAACATGGGGGGACAATTGCTTCATTCATTCCTCTCCAAGAACAGGGGTCCCTAATCTTACAAAGCTAAAGTGTACATACAAAATGTATATTCATGCAGAAATCATACCTCAAAACCATCTTTCTCAGCATAGCCTATAATATCATCGACATCTTCTAGTTCCATGTCAAATATCCCTTTGCCAGAGTCTTCTAGTACAATATCATCCCAAGATATCTCCACCTAGAAAAAGTCCACATGGAAAAGAAAATAAATGGAAGAAAACAGTTGCACATTCATCTTTTAGCCAGTATAGTGATATTTTTTTTTTACTCCAGGTGGAGGGGTGGCCATCTTTAAAGCTCAGTTTGGATGGGAGTACAAATGCAAATATGTAGAGTGCAAAACCTTGTATTTTCTATTATTTTGTATGTATTTGCACTGTATATATTTGTATTTGTACTCCTTCCAAACTGAGCCTAAAATTTATTAGCCAACATCAAAAGTTAACTCAGTATAGTAATAGAAAATTCAAGTACTCACATCTAAATCTATAAGCCTGTCCACCAATGCCATTAGCATTGTGCTCCCAACAAACTCTCCAAGTGCACTGCTCTCCAGCCGTAACATGCTCTCCACATATATCACAATCAACTACATGATCAAGTAGATATATATTAACTTACTGATTTACAACAATATTCTAATTAAAAATAATTGATAATGAAATTAAAATAAAAAGACTTGAGTACTTAATCTAGAAATTTGGGTACTCCTCTATAATTTATTTACTTAAGTAGCACTAATAATATAGAGTACATTACAACAAAGTATACATTACAGCCATGCAAAAGGCTGCAAGTTTTAACACAAAGATATATGCTTCTAAATAAGGGAAAAATGAAAGAAAAACCGGCAAGCAAGGAAATTTTATCATGAAATGGGGGAGGAAAAAAATGTCTCACTGTCATTGTGCAGTCAAGCAATATAAAATTATGGAATCTTCCTATCATAAAAATGAAAGTTGTGCTTCTTATCCATCTGTGCATCAGCCAGCTCTCATCTTCCCCAGTAGGTTGACAAACTTGTTCCAAATATCAAAAACAAAATCTGATTCGAGTAAATTATGAAAAATTAACGGACAATATTACAAATAACTAGTAATTCTAAAAATTAGGGAAAGTTAATGATACAAATAAAGAAATTGTAACATATGACAATATGAATTAAACATATGGTAAAGAAAGAAAATAAGCAGTAACAGGGGATAAGTATCATCAATGTTAACATGAATAGGACTTTGAACACTGTCTTATTATTATCCTAAGGTCAATGTATATTTTTTCCTTAAACACAGGAGAAATATGTATACCTTTGAGCAAAGACTGCAAAGTGTTCATGACCACCCTATGCTAAAATGGAATTCAGATCAGTATCAGAAACACAACATATGCTCAAGGCCATAAGCAAAGCAATCCTTCCACCCCCAGACTCAGCAACATAAAATAAATACATAAACATATAAAACAGAAATACAATGTACGCATAATTGCATATGCATGGACAAAAGCAAATACAGTTAAAATAGAGGCATAGTTTGATTCATTCTCATAAAAAACTTTTGATTAGCCCCAACAGGGACGTGAAAAATTATGCAAACAATAACAATGAAGATTCTATGGTTTAGGACTCACAGTTTCCTTGTCAAACATGTGTGGCATTCTCTGGAGAATTATAGGAGTTAACCTCATGGGGGCAAGAGGAACCAAATCAGCTATGTGGCTTAAAGCTGAATGCACCCGATCAAGCACTTCATGTTTTCTTGCAAGACCACGAGGATGACCAAGTAAATCTAAGTAAGATTTGGGTGGCGTGAAGTTTCTCACAAGCATGTCCAAACATGAATCAACAAACTTTCCATTTGAAGCAGCCTGAAATTTTATGATAGTAAATAATCATCATAACAAACAAATCAGACAAATATCATCATAACAATCCCAATCAATATTTCAGCTTGAGCATACTAAATCAAAAGCTACATACCAAAGATATAATTAGTTCAACTAATGCATCCATTACATCAGGTCCATAGTTCCACATACTCATCCCAAAAATCTGAAATGTAACCGAGTGAGAAAACATTCATGAACAGTTACAAATACAAGAAGTAGATATATAAATAAATATGTACACACTTACAGATGAGAGAAGAGATTCATGGTGAATGATGTCAATGTAAGAGATAGATCCTGACAATGCCTTTAAACTTGTCTGGAATACACATATGGGGAAAACACAGCAATAATAATCAGATCTTTAGTTATAAATAAAATAAAATGATAAAACAATTGCAATATCATCAGTTATGATGCATCCAGCAAAACATATGAAACCCAAAAATGTAACCTACCACAAGCATTGCCACCTCATCAGGAGCAAGACGTCCAGTATAGTGCATAACCGCAATCAGCTGGTTATAATGATCACTATCACCCTATAACATTAAACCAGATATTAAGGAAACTGAAAAACCATTAACTCACTGATATGCTTATCACAAATTCATCAAGAACCATGCAGATTACCAAGAAAATAAATTACTTAGATTGCATGTATCATGTTAATTGCTATTATGGTTTCCTAGATCATAATCTCAGTACAAGTTGACAAATAGCATAGCAATGGCTTTACTTCGCAGTCTCCGAGATAGAAAATGAACCAACTAGATGAAGTGATGTATCGAATAAAATCTTTAAAGACAACATGCTATGTAAGCAGATAAGACAGAAGCAGGAAAAAAAAGACAAGAATACAAAAAACAGAATATATAAGATATCTACTGTATATAATATAGGAGAACAAGATATTCAAGTGGTGTCATAAATACTGGGCTATGAGGTTAGGAGATGGCTCCTAGAGTATCTTGGTATGCCATTGGGGGCCAACCCTAGGTCAGAAAACTTTTGGAAACCGGTAGTAGAAAGGTTCACAGAGAAATTAGTTTTATAGAAGAGAAATTACATCTCTATGGGAGGAAGAATTACTCTGATCAGATCCACCTTAGCCAACTTACCTACCTACTTCCTATCCACCTTAAGAATACCAGTCACAATTGCAAAGATTTTGGTAAAAATTATGAGAGATTTCTTATGGGAATAGGGAACCAGGTAATGAAAGAAGAGATCATCTTGCCAAATGGAAACAGGAATGCAAACCTAAAGAATTGAGAGGACTTGGTATTGGGAATCTGACTAAGGGGAATACAGTTTTGCTAGGAAAATGGCTTTGAAGATTTCCTCTAAAAAGAGATAGATTGTGGCACAAGTGCACAAGGTCATTGGAAGCATTCATGGTGTGACATTAAATGGCTGGGATGTATAATTCTACACCTAAATATTATAAATTCATATTCACCAAAAAAATAAATAAATGGCTGGGATGTAAGTTTGGCACTTCATGCTTCTTCAAGATCTCCTTTGAAAGCAATAATAGAGGTATTACTAACCTTTCTGAACTTCACTTGTTTTGATGTGGATGATAGAGTTTTATTTTGGGAGGATCTTTGGATTGGGGATTTGCCCCTTAATCTGCAATTTCCCTTACTATACTCTTTGTCTAATAAGGTCAAACCTATATCTAAAACAATGTTTTAAAATGCGGAGGCGTGACGCGAGGCGTTCCACTACCTAGAGGCGTGAGGCATAGTTCAGAACGCAAGAGGCGTAAGCCTCCTTAAGAGGAGGGGGGTTAGGAGGAGGATGAAGAGAAAGGGGGGACCTCATTTTTTCTTTATTTTTAATAAGCAAGACCCCCCTAACTCAAAAAAAAAAAAAAAA